CAAATTGAACTCCTATATAATTATATCGGCCACATAACTACATGCCTATCCAGACGCCTTACAAACCCATTGGAAGCCATTTAAACACACACACACAAACCTTCCAGACTCCATTAGAAGCATACGAGTAGAGAACACAAACATAATAACCTCATCCACCTGTAAAAAATCTCTTAACAATATTAACTACGAATTAGACCACAATTTGCTAACCGTGTTCGAAAAATAAAACATCTGTATAACACTATAATCATACACACAACCCACACACCCAATTAAATTGAAAAAATAAAATCATCCTTGATAATGGCTAAAAGTATATCCGAAAGCGCTCGGAATTATAGAACATTTGGACAGTTTCTACACACACTGTGTCCAAAAAAGAAATCTCTTGTTCGAACACAAGAAAAAAAAATAATAAAAGGCTTAACCGTGGTACCTCGTCCGTTGTTTTTAATGAAACATGCATAAATGAAGGATTGCTGCCTAAATACACAATACACACACATATATATATATATATATATATATATATATATATATATATATATATATATATATGTGTGTGTGTGTGTGTGTGTGCAAATATGAAAAAAAAAATAGGAAAGAACACGTTAGGTAAATAATCCGGGGTTCTTTTTATTATTTTTGTTTTGATTTTTAAAAAACAGTGCTCCATACAGAAGTAGATCTTAAATAGTATTCTTTAGACAGTTAACGGCGGATTATGGTGCCAACAGCCATCTGTCGCTGTGACTGACCAGACGATGTGCGTACATGAATGCCATCATTCGCTTTGAAATGGATACCCCGGCCCTCTTTCTTTCTTTTGACCTCTTTCCGAAGGTGACTGATAGGTGAATACAAATTAACTCTTATGCCTCTTATCAAAATAGCCGCTCCAGCCGTTTCCATAATAATACATTTTGCGAATGAACATGCTTATAAAGATGCGTAAATTTCAAGATTGGTTATTCATAAATTTTCGCTTGAGGATGAAACAGGACTTGATACTTTAACTCAATTTAATTTCATTAATTAAATTGAGGTTTTTGGCTCTTGTTTTTGAAACATGAGAACTCTTATGTAGCGAAGGAATCATATTTTTTAAAAAAAATACTTATAAAATATATATATATATAAATAAACAAATTGTTGCCACACCAGAGTAAAATGATCTTTGGAAAAGGGACCATATTTTATTTATAAAACAGGATACAAAATTATCATAGCGATTAAAATTTTAGGTACATTTCGGCCAACACTTCTTCAGAATAAATACAATCGTCGGCAAAATAAAACAAGCAGTTGACAAGAAAAATTATTATTAACGACTGATGTTAAGACAAAGAATATAAATTACAAAAAGGGGAGTGAAAATCTTCCCTGTTAGGCATAGAATTAACGACTGCTTCCCATTTTAAAGATCATATAATATTTATGGGTTACCCAAAATACATTTACAAACTTTAGGATCAGGTTCTTCACACCTAAACAAGGACAAAAGTCTATATCAACATGTTTTCCAGTCATTATGTTTAAAGTTTACGGTAGACCCTATCAAATGTACAATCCAAAATACAGTCCAAAATACTTCTACAAATTTTAGGGTCGATTCCTGACACTAAGACAATATAAAATGTCCATATAAGCATATATTCAAAAGGCCATCGTTGTACCTCAATATAGCAACTTATAAGAAATGTTAAAACTGTCCTCCACTTGCTTCTACAAACACATGCATCCTTCGGAACATTGACTGACGGACCCTTTCAAATACTCCGACACGGTGTCGAATGGTTTCGCAGGACCCCATGACACGTTGATGAAGCGTTTCTGTATTATAAATGTCTGCTGCATAAACCAATTGTTTTAGGTGGGGCCTCACAGATAGAAATCCACAGGATTGAGATCCAAGGAACGTTCAGACCATGGAACTAGCCCTCCCCTTCCTATCCATCTTTCATAGAAATAGCCTGGTCTCCGTAACAATTTCGTGTTGATATCGGTATTTACCGACCATCTCCACTTTATTGCAATAAGGAAAGACAAACCGCAGGTTTTGAATCCTCAGGATCAGGCCTTCTTTCAAAGATTTATACGTGATACACGATTGAGAGTTAGCTATGTTTTTAGTTCCAACCCGAAGAATGAGATAAGAAAAAAAAGCTACTCATATTCAGATTGTATCAAAATACTCTTGCAAACTTCGAGGGTGGGTTCCACAAATCAAAACAAGCATAAATGTCCTTCTAAACACATGTCCGCAAATCTCTTTTGTTGAGTTGTTTTTAAAGCTTACGGTAGACGCTTTTAAGTGTACATTCCAAGATACAATCCAAAATACTTAAAAAAATTTTCGGGCGTAATCCTGATACCAAAACAATGTAAAATGTCCATATAAACATATGCTCAAAAGGCCATCGTTGTATCTCAACATAGCAACTCATAAGAAATGTTTAAAATATCCTCCGCTTGCTTCTACAAACGCATGCACCCGTCGTATTATTGACTGGCGGACCCTTTCAAATACTCGCACACGGTGTCGAATGGTTTCAAACATATATATATATTTATTTATTTATATATATATATATATATATATGTATATATATATAACAAGTATGCAATAGTAACTACAGAACAATTATTTCAAGTTAAATATTCTAGAATGTTTTACTCAGTTTTTGTAAACGTGTTGATCCCACAAAACTTTCCTCATTCGTAAGGTGACTCTGTTAGCTGAGAATCAAATTTGAACGTGTGTGAAGTAAGAGAACAAGAAAGCATTTACGAGCCATTTTTTTTTTTTTTTTTTTAGAAAATCAATTTTATTTCGAACTGACAGACTTCAGTAAAAATTCTCTTTTGATCAAATTGAGACAGAACAGATAAAATCGAACAAAATTGTATTCTCTTCTGGCAAAAGATCAAATAAAATTTTCGAAGATTTCTTTTAAACTATTGATCTTAGTCCAGAACTAAAACAAAAAAAAATCTTAGTCCTCAAGATTGAAATATGAAAACAGTTGCTGCTTATGAGAAGAAAAAAAAGCCGAGGATTCTAAATGGTTTTTTTGATAATAATAAAATTAACTTGACACAAGGGAAGATGAAAGTCAGAAGATCGTGTTAGGCCAAGAATTACACAGATATCTGTTTTGAAAATCAGCACTCAAATCCGACCTATTCATCTGCAGTTGGACATATTTTGTAAATATCTATGTTAGTTATGAATCAGATCAAACCACCCTTTCGTTGACTTAAGAATCTGTCATGAAATAGTTCTACGATGATTCTCAACCTTCTTAAGAGCCATCTTTCATTATTACTTAGACGACATGAGTTCTCCATAGCTTCCTTTTTCTTTAAAATCTGTTAATTTTGCATTGCCATGATTGTTTATGGGAAATTGCTTTCCTGTTGCCTTCTCCACTATTTTAAATTTAGAATCGACCCATGGCTAAAGGAAATCTTTGAAATTAAAGCCATAGCTAGGTTTAGAAAATATAGTTCTTTGCCTGGGCCAATGGAATTTGTTCGAAGGGAAAGCAAACTCTCTCAGCCAGAATTCGAAATCGCCTACCGATTCAATTATTTTCTCAGTTACAAACAGTCGTCAGCCAGCACACCTTTCATTATGACATATATCTTATTAATCTTTGACCTCTTTAACATATATATATATATATATATATATATATATATATATATATATATATATATATATATATATATATATATGTAGCGGTCTGAACTTTGGTGCTTTTTAGCAGTGTGGCTGGGTAGCGTATTTGCTCTCTCTTCATCATTTAGACATAGAGCACTCACGTTTACTCTCTCTTTTAGCTACATATCTGATTTCCATTTTTTTCTTCATATTTAATTTCCCTTCTTTGTTTTTGATTTATTGAGTTTGTTTTGTTTTATTTATTTATTTATTTTTTTTTGCTCGCTTATCAGACTGTGTTGGCTTTACCAATACTCGGTCTTGTTATATATATATATATATATATATATATGGGGGGTATATAATATATATTACAATGAAGCAGTCATACAAAGAATAAATTAGTAAGGTTAATGTAATAAATGGCGAATTCACTTCGCTAACAAATTTAAAAGTATTAACCCACTAACACTCATTGAATAATGTGATCCTTGTTTTTAGATGTCCCGTATGTTCCATAAATATGTTAGTACTTTCGATAGATCATCTGTCATCATCGGGCATGGATGTTATTTTTCTTTTTAGGTCAAATTCAGGTAACATCCGAGACGAAAGTAACTGTAATGGAAGTCGAAAGATGTTACCTGAATTTGACCTTGAAATATTTAAATATCTTGATTTAACCATTTTTGATTTTTTTTTATGGTCACTGGAAAAGAGTAAGAAAGGAAATATTTGAAAAATCCTGAGCTTAAGTTGAGATTTTTGTAAGAACTGATAATTTCACGCTCTAGTTATTTTCTCTTTTAATAGGTATAGACTTCTTGAGATCGAAGTATTTTTTTAATCATTTCTGTGTATAAATAACTCAAAAATCTATAGTTATTAAAAGTGAATATATCAAATACTTATGAAAATGTTAACTCATATAGAAGACCTTTCTTATGTTAATAGATAAGTTTCTTTTTATATTTTTACACGTTTCACCAATATACTGTAAGGAACAGCTTTGGCAGTTTATTTTACACATTCTTGTTTCTGAATTATTGTTATGGACATTTTTGGTCTTGATCATTTCTATAATTGCTTTGGAAGTGCTTGTAATTATTTTGATATTGTTAAAATTATGTATATAGTTTTGAATAATAGATCTTAAGGAATTAATAGTTAATATTATATTCCTATTTTTATCTAGTTTATTGTTAGTATTGCTATTGAAGACGTAGTTTTGAGCGTTAGTGAATAAAAGGCACCTTAAGGAAATTAGAACTCGGCTCTCCGATTAACAATTCCGAGCTATTATCTATTACACTACCCGCACATCGAAGCCTATAGCACCTGGTATTCACAAACGGTCAACCATCTAGTTACTGACCAGGGTCGACGTTGCTTAACTTCGGTGAACGTACAGGAACCGGAGTTTCAAACTTATGTGGCTGTAAACTATAATTCCGGGTAATTTCAACTGTTTCTTTCCGATTCTATGTATAACCGTGTTATTTTGTTTTCATTTTCTTTTTAAACTTTCTGAGTACTTATATTTTTAACCCATGGTGTTCTTTACATGTTTCTGTAAAACTATATGACTTCTTCAGTTATGAGGGGGATTGTCTAACATTCACTTAGTAGCCTTTTCTTTGTTTCTAACGAAATTGTCCTGTTTATTAATACTTTTGAAATGCTTCTTCCGTTATTCCAATGCAAATTCTCATTTTGGTGTCGAATATGTCGTCTATTCAAACACTTCATAGATATTTATATTTTCACTCCAACTTCTCGTTTGCATCTTGTGCTGTTTCTTTTACTTGACAGTCATACATTCTAACGTATTACAATTGATCTTTAATCCATTTTTCTGGCTTCCATTAACCACCTTTTCTGGCACTTCCTTCCTGTGTCTGTTACCAAAACTGTCATCTACACATCTGATTTTGTTAAGATTGTGGCCGCTAACAATGAATACTGGCATAACCTCCAATTCTCTTAGAATCGCTTCACTGTATAGGTTGAATAAGTCCGGCGAGAAGACACATCCTTGTCTTACACTTCTTTCTGTTTTTTTTTTTTTTGGTTTTATATATATATATATATTTACTCAATTTATTTTCTATGTGTATGTAGGCAATTTTCTACCGGCATAGTTTCTGGATTTTTCTAATATCCATCTCAAATATGCCAATGTTACCTAGTCGTTTAAAATAGCTTGTATGTTCAAGCAGGCTTTTTTGATACAATATTTTCGTGAATTTGAATCTCACCGAAACCTTAGTTCTCTACAGTGCTGTCTACCAATTGTCATTACATTGGCAGCCTGAGTTTGCGATGATAGTAGATGCAAGTCATAATTTGTAATACTAGTCTTAATATTAATTAAACCTTTCTTCTCTGTCGTTGTAAATTCTATAGGAGTTTCTATAGTTTAATATCCGTGTCTGCTATCTGTGTCTTCTGCATATCTTATGTTGTAAAGACTATGACCGCCAACCTAGGTTTTATATCAGTTTTTCTTTTCTTTAGTCCACACGCGTATAGACAGAAATAATTCCAGCAGAATATGTTCTCTGTTTTATCGGATTTTCTTAGCATTGGCAACGTCGGGCATGAATTACAAATATACCAGGACTGGAATAACAAGAACGTCTCCAGGTGATAGATATTCCTTTTTGGAAATCTATCGTTAAACGAAACAATAAAACCAAATTTCTAGAGAATAATAGAATCAGGAAGCTTTGTGACTTTGCGTAGTACCAGGATCAGAGATTGTTTCTTCGTTATTGAATTTTATGAGGTTGTGGTTTAGAGTTGACAAGTGTCCTCTCTGGTTTCAAATAAAGTAAAACCTATTAAATTTTATTTCCCATCGAGGCTTTGGTTTCATTTAAGCCATTGCCTTTTTTAATGTTATCAAAATTCTCAGCTGAAAAATGATAATTAAAACATATGGATATATATTTTTCAATTACACTGGAGCCGATCAAATTCCTTAAACTAAAAAACTTCCCCAATACTACAAATTTACACGCGCGCACACACCCCGAAACACTAAGAGAGTATATATATATATATATATATATATATATATATATATATATATATATATATATATATATGTATGTATGTATAATGTATATATATATATATATATATAAATACACACATACATATATATATATATATATATGCAATTTTATATATAATATTTATCTATATCTATAATTCTCAAAATGTGTGTGTATGTATATGCGTGTGTGATCGGATGTTGTTTATGCGTTTCCACATCCGGTTTTGATTAATTTTTTTTTTTTGTTTGATAGATAATCCTTCAGTGCCGGTTTTGAGTCCAAATTGGCTGGAAAAAATTACAACTTTGAAGGCGAAAAATCGAAAAAAATGATTTTGTTTTACACTTTGCGCAAAAATCAAAGGCAAAATTTAATGTCTGTAAAAACCAGCGTACAATCAATTTAGAGAGTTGAAATCTAACGCAAAAAGATTATTAGAAATATAAAAAATATATATTATAAATAAAAATTATCCTATATTATTATGACGGTCCATGGAATAGGTTCCTTCCTTGCAAGATTGAGAACGCAAAAAAAGCCCCTTTCATGACCACTCCCCACTTCGAATTCTTAACCCCCATTTGGGAATGTGCCTCAGTTGCATCCAGTTGTTGTTACAAATATTGATTTTTGGGTGGGATGAATTTAATCTTAAACTGCTCCAATTAAACGTAAAAATTCTCAGTAAAGAAAGACCCGTCGAAGACGGGTTATACTGCTAGTATATTATATATGCGCGGTACTTCTTGGGTTGATGTGAGATTGTCTGACGATCGCAAAGGGCGTGAAACCCACAGTCAGAGACTCACATCAATACATATATATATGTCTTCGGATGACAATATATATGCTCCTAAAAAAATTATTTCAGTTGAGCTCTCTGGGGAGAAAATGTGGGTTTGTAAACAGTGACTATTACGGCTAATAATGCAAGACTCTTCGTTAAATCGAATCGAGTTCTCTCAGTCACTGTGTGTTTATCTAAAAATAAATACACTTAAATTAACCTTCATCCCCGCCGTGCGCCAATGCCTTAGTGGTAGAATCCGCGACTGACGCCAATTCAGTCGGGTTTTGATCCTAGCTAGAGGCAACCGGACGTCTTTCCACACTGAAGAGCTGGAATACAGCGAAACAGTCTGTCTATGGATGACTATATATTATTTAACGCTAATCTTAATAGGAAAATATGTGCATATTATTGTAATAAGATTTATGGAATATTCAGAAGTAATTAATTATTTAATAAATACGAGCATCCACAAAAATAACGTTTAAGTAATAAAAATCTGTCGTGTAAATAAATAAAAAAAACATTCATTTATATATATATATATATATATATATATATATATATATATATATAACATTGAACAAGGCTAACGCATAGACGTTAGTTGAAATAGTCTATACTCATGAGGTCATTTTGGATTTCTCTGTTATGTAATTTATATGCTCTGTTATAATAAATACATTGAGTTCTTTTTGTGGATCAGTTTTAATATTTTATATTACTAGGATTCACATGGATTATATACCAACGGATTTATTACCTGTACTATATATATATATATATATATATATATATATATATATATATATAGTACCAGTGTTAATAAAACAGTATTCGAGGTTATAAATACAACAGAGCTATTACGTATATATGAATAACTATACATATTATTCATCACCAATAGCGTAACGGAGTTTCATACACAACACAATCTTCAGCTTATGTTTTCTTATTTAATTTGTCTTGTGTTCTTAAATTTTCTTCTTTTCTGTACATAAATTATGTAAAAATTATCCAAATGTTTTGTATGTCCAAGCGCTTTCGGATATATTTTTAGACATTATCAATAATATCAACCATGAACACGGCCACAATATGCTGACCCTGTTTGGAAACTATAACTCTAGATTCACACTTAAAACAATTCATACATTCAGTTAAAAGTAAAAATATATTCATCCTGGATAAAGGCTGAAAGTATGGCTGAAAGCGCTCGGGCATACAAAACGTTTGGACCATTTCTATATAGTTTATGTCCACAAGAAAAAAAAATGTAATACAAGAAAAATTAAATAAAAAACCTTACCATAGTACCTTGTTACTCGTTTTTAATAAAACTTGTATAATAGAAAGTTTTTTTGTAGGGGGTGTATAATAGATATATAGATAGATAGATATATAGATAGATAGATATATAGATATATATATATATATATATATATATATATATAGATATATATAGATAGATAGATAGATAGATAGATAGATAGATAATATTAGTGGAAAATATACATACATATGAAAAATATATCTAAAACATTCCCATACATGTATATTTTCAGAAAAAATTTTCCAAGAGGAAGGATCCAGGTAGAACTCAATGTCTAGGACAGAGTAAGGATATAATAAAAAGGCTTAAACACTAATATTCCATGGTCATAATTTATTCCATTGGAATCGTAAATACGATCCAAATCATCAGACCTACAAATTCAAAATGAAAACAGAAAAAAACAACTCCGGAAATCAAAACAGAATTTAGAGAAAGTGTAAGTATGAGGATGCGTGACAGAGAGAATTTTTGGAGATGTGGGTGGGGTGGATTTAAAAAGAAAGTCGACGGATGTCTAATACATAAAGATACATTTCGTGGTGACATATACACACCACAGACAATTCGGATAGGAAGGAAAAAAAAAAAAAAAAAAAAAAAAAAAAAAAAAAAAAGGGAAAGGGTGGGTGAGAGGGATGGGACGAAGGAAAATAAAAATGTGTTTACATAAAGGGCCGCTTCGTAATTGGGAAAATTAAATCAAATATAAATATATGAAGATGAATATAACGATTGTCTCATTTCGCAAGGACCAAATATTTCTATGTTCAAAACACATACTAATACACACAAAAAAACATATACAAGTAGGTACATACACTTAGGCATACACACACACACACCCAGACATACGTGTACATGCACATACATACACACATACACATATATACATATATATACATACATATATATATATATATATATATATATATATATATATATACACACACAAACACACATATATATATATATATATACAAAAACCTAAAAATATATTCACATATCCACACATACACATATTCATCTATATTCATATACACACACTTTTCACATACATATACACGCATACATATGCCCCATGTATACATTCATACATACTTATACATACACATACATATACATATACATACATACACACATACATATATATATATATACCTATGCATACATATATACATATACATACACATATATATATATATATACACACATATACCCATACGTCCACGCACATACACATACATACATA